AGGGGCGGGGCCCAATAGGGGAAATAGAGGATTTTTTTTCTCCTGCTATACAAGTGAAGGGATTTTAACCAAATGCAGTCTGAAGCATGATTAGGGACAAAAGAATCAATTTTGTATAAACTGAGGTGTGTGGGCCTCCTTCTAAGGGCAGATGGGTGGGGCCCATTAGGGGAAATAGAGGAAAACATCAAATATCCTTCTCCTTTTGTACCGATGAAGGGATTTTGACCAAATTTGGTCTGGAGCATCATTGGCCAAAGGGTTCTCAGTTTTGTATGAACGGAGGGTATGGTCCCCCTGGGGGCAGAGGGACGGGGCCAAATAGGGGAAAATAGGTAAATCTTTAAAAATCTTCTCCTCAACCAATTGAAGGATTTTGACCAAATTTGTCCTAGAGCATCTTTGGACAAAGGAGACTCAAGTTTGTATAAACGGAGGGTGTGGGCCTTCTGGCGGCATAGGAGCGGGGCCCAATAGGGGAAATAGAGGATTTTTTTTCTCCTACTATACAAGTGAAGGGATTTAAACCAAATGCAGTCTGAAGCATGCTTAGGGAGAAAAGAATCAATTTTGTTTAAACTGAGGTGTGTGGATTCCCCTTCTTTGGGGCAGATTAGTGGGGCCCATTAGGGGAAATAGAGGAAAACATTAAAGATCCTTCTCCTTCTGTACCGTTGAAGGGATTTTAACCTAACCAAACTTGTTTTAGAGAATCTTTGGGCAAAGGGAATTGAATATTTATAAATGGAAGATGCAACTTTGTTACTTGTACTCCTTTGATAAACCTGAATGGTACTCAGCAGGTTTTAAATTGAAAAATAAAATACCAGGTGAGCTATTAAGGCCCCTGGGCCTCTTGTTATGAGATTTCAGGGGTGAATGAGTTAATTTACGTGGCTGTCACCGTAGGTCTCTCTAATGCTTTGTCTTTGATCATGAACTTTTGACAGGTAATAAAAAATATAGAGGTCTATAAGCTTATACTGTCGAATGAAAACGAGGCACCTGCAGTCCATGGATAATATTCCACAGCTGAGTTAATTTATTAGAATAACAATACCACTCTGTCCGTAACAACTGGACACCATACAAGTTTTATTGTAGCCTGGCGATATTATGAAAAAAAGATAAACATGAAAATGATTATGGGCAATGTTATGGTAAAATGCTGAATGATTATGTACAAAATGAATTCCTGCAAAATCTTATTAAGGATCCCCGTACCTCTGCCAAAAACTATTACGAAGTTGTTTTTTCCCGCATGAGACTAAAACTTCGATATATCATCTCTGAAAAGTAAACTATACATTGCGGGGCTTTTATGGCAAAAAAATAAAGATAAATTAAACAAAATACAATCAACAACAGTGTTTTGAGTGTAAACAATATCAGCGGGGCTAGACTGGGATTCAAAACAATATCAGCGGGGCTAGGATGGGATTCGAAACAATATCAGCAAAATTTAACTTTAGACAGAATTGCTGCTCATTGAGTTCTTTAATGAATTATAAAAAAAGACATTGTTAATTTTAGGTTGAGTTGTTTATGTTTAAGTGTTTCTTAATGAATTTTTTGTCGAAAAGTTTGGAGGTTGACAAAAAAATTTTTTTTATTTTTTTTCAATATATAAAATTTACATATGGAAGTGTATATATATATTTATATATAAAAAAGTTTTATTATGGAAAATGATTTTGTCTTAATCAAGAAAAATAATTTGGATCAATAAATAAAGATTAAAAAAAGATTAAAAAGTAAGAAAAATATTTTTCAATATTCCTTAAAAAATTAGACCAAAAAAACAATCTCCCTTCTGGTTGGAGAAAAAAAAATTGTTTTGTGTTATTAAGGAACCTGTACAACCACCAAAAAATGTAATTAAGTAATGGAAACTTTTCTGGCAATTGACTACTTAGCTTTAATAAATCGTTGCTGAAAAGATATCCATTCCTTGCCGGATTTTAATGAGAAAAAGATAAAGATGTGATATAAGTGGTTTATTTCTGAGTGTAAAAAACAATTCAGCGAGGCTGGACCAGGATTCGATCACTGGACTTCAGGTTACTATTGCTGCAACTGATTGAGCTGTCTAGTTTAAATGGAAGTGGTTTGGTTTGGTTTGGTTTAGAATTGTTTAACGTCCTATCAACAGTTTTGGTCATTTAAGGACGGTTATAAGTGCCCAAATGTGCTATGTGCAGTTAAAACAAAACATGTTAACGGAAGGATATAAACTGCATATAGGCAAAAAGGCAGTATGGTGGAACAGGGATCCTTAATTAATTCATTACATGTATTTTGGCAGATGTGTAGACATGTTAGGTATACAGATCCCGACCAGTCCATGTGTTCAGAGGTGTAGGACTATAGTCCATGTGTTCAGAGGTGTAGACATGTTAGGTATACAGATCCCGACCAGTCCATGTGTTCAGGAGTGCCCTGTTTATTATGTAGTCAGTGCAGAAAGGTTACACAGAGCATTACCCAGTAAGATTGAGGCTGTGTTGTGGTGTACTTGGAGATTCCTGTGCTGTCAAATTCTCCTTTGGTACTGTCTACACCTCAGCCACACTTTGTGATTCTGAACAGGAGTGATGAAGAGACTATTTAACCATCTGAATTAGGAAGAAGCTAGGTGTACATGTAAAAAAGACGCTGCAGGCAGACAGCTGTCAACTGTCTTCGGAATTTAGACCTGTGTTGACAAAATATACTACCTGATGCTTATGGTTAGCTGGGGGACTGGGGAATTTCTAACGGTATTTAGGCTATAAACACGGGAATAACCACAATTGCTACCAATTTTACGGACTAATGGCTAACATTTTGATTTAACGCTATGAAGTGGACTAGTGAGATTATCAAACCTCTGACCCTCCCCCCAAAGTGGAGATGGTTAGGGGACAAGACGACAACACAGGATAGAAATGACAAGAAAATGTTCACGGTAAATACTTTCTTTTTTCTTTAAGTCTTGAAGTTAATTAAGTAGATACATTTTATGAATTTTGTTGCCCTATATTAATATTTAACTGGTAGATTATTTACTGTGTACGTAAACAACTATATAGGTCAGGTACGGCTGTTTGTTACTTACCTATATTTAACATAATGATGTAAAATCTAGACATGTGGGTGGAGACCAAACCTGTTATGATGTTGGGAGGAAACTCGGGGCTTATATTCGTGTGTGTTATGATGTTGGGAGGAAACTCGGGGCTTATATTCGTGTGTGTTATGATGTTGGGAGGAAACTCGGGGCTTATATTCGTGTGTGTTATGATGT